GGGGGGGCGGAAATTGTCTGAAATAGGCCCATTTTATAATAAAGTGTCACGATGGATGCTGTCGAGGGTTTTCTCGTAGTTTACAAAGCTGTAGCAGGAGTCGCGAGTCCCATCATGTTTAGTTTAGATCCTTTAAGTCACATTTGGTCTATGTAAGATCTGATCTTTCTGAATCCTGCTTGGTTGTCTCTTTTGGCGTGAATCCTTGGGTTTTCTCATGCGCTCCAGGATAACTGTTGGATTCTTACCCTGTGACTGGCGATAGTTATTCCGCGGTAGTCCTTACAATGATTGCTGGGATTACATTTCTTGGGGAGTTTCTTGATGATAATTCCGTTCTTAAAGTCTTAATTGAGAATCCATCTTGAACCCAGACATTTTAAAACAGTGGATGAAGGATCTCAGTTGTCATCTCTTTATCTGCTTTTAGGCCTAGTGCGTTTAGAGCATCTGCAGTGACGTAGTCAAGTCATGCCGCTTTTTCCATTTCAAAACTGAGAGTGAGAAAGTGCCTGCTTGTTGTTTTGTTTTGTTTTGTTTTGGGGTTTTTTTTGCCTGGTGGATTTCTATTTTAATTTCTGGCGAGTGTTCTGTAGCTGTTGTTTTTTTTTAGTCATTATAATTATACGTTTCTCACCCTGGATCAGTGTATGGGCCACGAACAAACACTTTCTTCTAATTGCCCTCTATCTCCTGGGTTGGATTCTCTTTCTCTTAACATACATGATGTAATACCATGTCTTTCCACTTTTTTTGTAGCCAACATATTATTCTCTGTGACTCCTCTTCAGGTTTATTTAAAAGCTCTTGAAAATGTTTAGCCCATCCTGTTGGTCATGTATCTTGTCCCATTAATGAGTCTCCAAAAGCTGTCCTCTACTGGTGCTTCTGATCTGAATATTTTGTCTTGTTGTTCATATGTGATTTTTTCATTGATTCCCATGCTATTTCAACTTGACCTTCTTTTGTGCTCTGTTAATCGGTTCTTGATTTTAATTCTGCTTGTTTGAACCAACCCTCTCCCTTCACTTTACCCGATGCACCTCTTTAATTTCCACCAAATTTATTCTCCTTCATTAAAAGGCAACCCCCCCCCCCCC